AACGAAGCGCGCTACTAGTTAAAGTGTCGAATTTAAGACTCTATCTAGGTCTAGGACCCTAACGAAGCGCGCTACTAGTTAGAGTGTCGAATTCAAGACTCTATCTAGGTCTAGGACCCTAACGAAGCGCGCTACTTGTTAGAGTATCGAATTCAAGACTCTATCTAGGTCTAGGACCCTAACGAAGCGCGCTACTAGTTAGAGTGTCGAATTCAAGACTCTATCTAGGTCTAGGACCCTAACGAAGCGCGCTACTTATTAGAGTGTCGAATTTAAGACTCTATCTAGGTCTAGGACCCTAACGAAGCGCGCTACTAGTTAGAGTGTCGAATTTAAGACTCTATCTAGGTCTAGGACCCTAACGAAGCACGCCGCTAGTTAGAGTGTCGAATTTAGAACTCTACCTAAGACACTAACGAGTGTAAGCTTAAGGCTAGTACTACTATCGAAGAAGCGCTCCGTAAACAGCAAGCCGGGCCTACTCTCGATAAGCATTCTACGGTCGATAGGATAGGCCTACTCTCGAAGAAGCGCTCCGTAAACGGCAAGCTAGGCTTACTCTCGAAGAAGCGCGCGTAAACCCTAAGCTAGGCCTGCTCTCGATAAGTACTCTACGATCGATAGGATAGGCCTACTCTCGATAAGCTCTCTATAGTTAATAGGACGGGCCTACTCTCGAAGAGCGCTCTATAGCGAAGGAGCGCTCCGTAAACGATAGGCGTACTATAGACGATAGGCGCTCCGTAAACGATAGGCTAGGCCTGCCCTCTAAGACTACGGTCGACGGGATTATATACGTATTTAGCTAACCCGAGAATGTTCGCTAAAGCTAAAGGAGACCTAATAAAAGCCGCTAAGGCCTTTAGTAGTAAGTACGCAACTCTTCGCGATCGTGCTTTATCTTACCTATATAGGGTTAGCGTATACTTCGTAGTCTAGGGAGTATACCTTATAAGCGTATCCGTACCTTTCTCGGGCAATTAGTTGATATTCTAGGCAACTTTAATAGTAAATAACGGGAAAAGTAGGGCCTTGCTATTGTTAATCCCCCGAGTAGTAGCGGTCTATATAAAGTTTTAGTATCTTTTATAAACTTTTACTAACTTGCGAGGGCCCGAATATTAGAGCGGGCAGATATTATAGGCGACGTTAATAGGAAATAGCGGAAAAAAGTAGGGCCTTGCTATTGTTAATCCCTCGAGCGATAGCGGTCTATATAAAGTTTTAGCATCTTTTAGAAACCTTTACTAACTTTTAGCTAATAAGAGCCCGAAGATTATATCGGACAGAGTATTAACCCTTACTTCGATTCTACTCTTATAGGGCGAACGTAGAGCTATTACCTTACTTGCCTTACATTTTCCTAGTAGTAAAGTTTATATACTATTATTAGTTAGTTTTACGTTGCTTCTTAGGTAGACAATAGAACTTATCCCGCCCTTAGCCTTATATATATATTTCTTCTCCCTCTATCGTTTCCTTCCTTCCTTCTTCTTCTATAAGACATCGTATATACCCTCTTACCCTCTTCTATAACGTTACCTTAAATATAAGAACTACGTTAACGGTATAGAAAGTAACAAAGATAGCTAGCCCGTTCTTTCGCCGCCTATCGGGGTACCCTCTTTTTAGTATAGATATATATATTAATTAGCAACTTCGGAGGTATTTAGAGATTAGAATACTACTAATACGTATATAGGGCGAGCGAGCTCTAGCGTCTGCTACTTCGCGCGCGTAGCGCGCATCCCGCCGTAACCGCCGCCGCTATATCGCCCTTCGATTGCGTTTGCTATAGTAGTAGTAGTAGCAGCAGTAGCAGTAGCTATAGAAGTATACTAGTTTTAGGCGTCTCGGGATAAGAATATACTAATATCTCGAAGTCCGACTTTCTTTATAACCCCTATAGGTATAGTAACGTACGTTTTTAGCTTATCGATTAATCCTTAGGTATAGTACTAATTCGTAGAATAGCTATTAGCTTCCGCTAGCTCCTCCTCCGCTAGCTCCTCCGGCGTATGTATCTTTAGTCTTATCTGCTTATAATCGCTAGGCGCTAATATATTACAGACCTCCGCTATAGCAGTAACTATAGTAGTAGCCGCAAGGCGGCGAGTAAGTATTACTTTGCTCTGTTGCCTATTTTAATCGATACTAACTACGATATAGTAATATCGATATAAACTTCGGTGCTAGCGGCGACGAGTAAGTTATTACTTTGCTCCGTTGCCTGTTTCAATCGATGCTAACTACGATATAGTAATATCGATATAAACTTCGGTACTAGCGGCGATAAGTAAGTTATTACTTAGCTCTATTAGCTGTTTTAATCGATGCTAACTATGCTATAGCGACGACTATAACCCTACTAGCGCTAGTAGTAACGACGATAGCGATAAGTAAGTTATGCATTCCTAGGCCGTTATCGTATTTATATATATACTAACTATACTATAGCGAGAATAAGCCTTTTATTAGCCCTACCGCTATAGCCTTCGATGCTACCGCCCTCCCCCCTCCTACTACTACTACCGCCGCCGCCCTCTCTCCTCCTCCTACTACTACTACCGCCGCCGCCCTCCCTCCTCCTCTTACTACTACTACTACCGACGCTCTCCCTCCTCCTCCTTCTACTACTACTACCGACGCCCTCCCTCCTCCTACTACTACTACCGCCGCTGCCGTCCCTTTCTTCGCTCCGCCGGCCGTAGTACTAACGATAGGCGAGCAGGTTAGTAATATGCCGCCTATCCCGGCCGGAGGTGCTTACGTACCTCGCCCTTAGCTAGCTAGGCCGCCTATTCCGGGTACGACGCCTAAGCCTACTTAGGTTATAGGAGAGTAGTAATCTCTAGACACTATCGACCGTAAGTTAGACTAATCGAGCGAGCGATTAAGGATTATACTAATATATATTATAGCGGCCTATACGAATTGCTATAAGTAGCTACGCTACGTCGTCCGCATTATAGAGACAATCTTAGGCCGTCGTTTCGCCCGCCCGTATAACGCCTACCGTCGCGACGGCCTTAAGTGCTAGGGTTATTTAGCGGGTATTAAGGCCTATATTAAGAAGCCTAGTCGTAGTTATGCTCGCTGCCGTCTCCGTAAGGTATAACATTCTTATTATATTCTAGATAGGATATAATACTAACTTCGTTGCTTTTAATCCCTTACTCCTATCGCGACGAGGAGCTTAGGCTCCTACTTAAGAAGAGCCTAGATCGCAAGCTAGATAGTTTCGGTAGTAGCTACGGTAGTAGTATAGATAGTAGTAAAGGTAGTAGTACTTGCGGTAGCGTCGCTGCCTACTAATTTTTGCTTGTTCGCGTAGTAAGTCCTAAAATATAGTAGTAAGACGTATATCGCTTACTAAGTATTCGGTATTTAGATATAGTAGCTAGTCTACTTCTTTGTTTGCTTTTTTATTTACTAGCCTTTAGGAATAATAGTGCTCTTTGTTATGTTTTTATACTCTTAGCGGTCTTCTATTCGGTGTTTAGGAGAAGTAGTACGGCTACTATAAATAGAAACTCTTCTCGGTCCTCTAATCTCGTTACTATATTACTCTACTATATTCTTCGGCCTTTACCTTATATCTACTAAGTTAAAAGCGCTAAAGTCTAGGTATATAGTACTCTATAGATTCGCCGCGGCTCCGCTTGCCGAAGGCCTCCGACTAGCTAAAAGTTCATAAAAGTTGGTAGACGTTGCAGCGGCTTAATCAACTTTTATTCAAAACCCTAGAATTCACGAAATTAGCCTAAAGCCGACCTTCTTCAACTTCGGCGCTCTCTCGTCGCTAGCTGCGGGTGGCGTGAAGCGTGAAGACACGTTGCTCGCTGGGGCGCAAAAAATTACGTTATGCGCAAAGAGTGACAGGTGAATCATGCGACTCGGAGTGCAGCAATAATAACGTGACATGCACTCCTCATGCAGCCTGCGAGCGCGTGGCTGGTGAGCGAGAGGCCGCCGGCGAAGCGACAACGACTGCGCGCGCGAACATGGCAGAACAATGACGGCATGCATGGCATGGATGATGGGATGCTACACTGCTACTTCGACGATACGCACCACCACCATGTCGGATGGCCCCGTCTGCACGCCCTTCATCACCAAACCGCGATTCGCCGACGAGACAAAGTCAAATCTGTCTCCAGGGCCGGCAGCGCCATCGAGGTGGAACGTCACTCGTGACTGACACGAACCGCAGCTACCCTTTTCTGTGTCCCCACCTTCACTGTGCATCTCCGCCATCTCCTCCGTTTTTTCGCCTACCACACGAGCGACTGCGAAAACTTCGTCCCTTTCCTTCCTTCCCTTTCCAGCTTCAGCACCGAGACCGCCTGCCCAAGCCGTACGACCCAATTTCAGCAGCCAGCTCATCTCGACGTCGATGAGAAGGAAGCTTCGTAGCTTGTCCCCATATTCGAGCTTGGCGGCACATCTTTCTCGTGCGTCCCCCAATCACTCTCCGCTTGGCCCAAAGTCAACTCCAACGTCCCACCGTCGAGGAAAAACTCGTGTCCGATCCAGCTCTTGCTGTATGCTCGTCCATCAAGCGTGGCATTCTGCACGTACATGGCCTGGTATGTGGGGTCGAAGTTGTGGTTGACGATCGTTGCCACTTTGCCAGTCTGCGGATGAGTGTAGCTCACACTCTCAAAGTATGGCGGCACGATCAGATACACATTCTGACCTGCCACGGGGAAGATGCCAGACATTGCAAAAGCTAGGAAGCTGCCACTCGCCCCGGAATCATCGTTTCCCGGCAAGCCATCGACGCCTGCATTGAAAGAACTGGGGATGTATGTATGCAGTCTTCTGCCGCTGAGACCCGGTCGCCCAGCATAGTGATACTGGAAACACGTCAGCTCGCTCGGCTCGTTCCCGATATCCAGAAGTCCGGATTCATGAAGGTAGTCCAGCCTTCGAATGAACTCCGATGCTCCACCCAACGTTTTGATGAGCGTGGCCTGGTCTTGAGGAACGTAGAACATGTACTCCCAGATTGCCGACTCGAATGTCTCCTTCGGGTTGGAGCTGTAGCTGCAGAACGAATCGAGTGGACTGCATTCGATAGGGTCTTGATAGCGCCATGTGCCGTTGGCAAAGCGAGGTTGAAAGAATCCCGTAAACCCTGTGTCTGTGCCGTTCATCCAGAATGAAGTTTGATTGGCCTTGTAAAGATTCAGCCAATTAGCACTGCGTTGCATGTACTTCTCATAATCGCTGTCGTGATTCAAGCCTTTGGACATCTGAGCAACAGCGAAGTCGTTGTAAGCGTATTCGAGCGTTCTGGAAATCGTGTGGAAATCAGGTCCGAAGCCCCAGTGGTCGAAGTCGTTGAATGGAATGTATCCATATCGCTTCCAGCTCTGCAGACCACCGCGACCGTTCACGCCCCAATCGAATGGCTCGTTCTCAGCGTCATTCACCACTGCTTTATATGCCATATCCCAATCAATGCCAGTAAGCTTCTTGACGTATGCATCCCCAATGACCACATCAGCGTTGCTTCCGCCTTGAGAGTAGCCTTTGCAAAGCTGCATTCGACAGTCTGGTAGCCAGCCGAGATGAGTGTACGTTGAGATCAGACTGCGAATCATGTGCGAGACCGCATCTGGCTGGGTGACCACGAGGTATGGAAAGGTTGTTCGAAAGGAGTCCCAGATGCAATAGAAGCTGTCAAAGTATGGCTCATTGTCACTCCACAGCGGATTCTCGCCCGTGTAGTTCTGCGGAGACAGCAGAGTGCGATAGAATCCAGAGAAGAACGTCTTCTGCAAGTCTGATGAGGCACCGCCAGCTTTGATCGAGACGCCTTTGAGACGCCTCTCCCAAGCCTCCTCCGCAGCTGATCGAACCGCAGCAAAGTCAAAATCCGGTATTTCCTGCTCTGCATTTTGGCATGCCTGGTCGGTACTCAGGAAGCTGACTCCCATCCGAGCTTGGATTACTCCATTCGTGGGCTTCCGAAACCTGACAAAAGCGCCTGCCTGAATGTAAAACAAACTGTAGCCTCGGTTGACAAACAGCTCCTTTGGCTCTGTGCCTGCACGCTCATTCACCCATATGCCTGTATCGCGAATGTCGCCGCCCTTGAAGTCTGCGCAGAAATATGCCTGGTATGAGCCCACGCCAAAATAGG